ATAAATATATAAAATATATGAAAAATTGATGTGGGTACTCAAATGAAAGGTCATGATGAATGTAATGTCGGGATGAGCTTATATTTTAAAAAATGTCAATAGTTAATGAGATACAAAGTCATTTCTTAAGGGGCACACCTAATGGACAGCCTAAAAAATGGCAATTTTTGGGAATTAAAAAAAAACTACAAAAATAATATTAAATTATAAAAAATTGTTAAATTAAAACGAAAATAAAAATTTTTTAATAAATATTTAATTATAAAAAAATGCTTACGCTTCAATTCGCGACCATCAGGAGGACAAGGTCCCTTGTTCATCAGACAATTGTAGTAATGATGGAGCAGCTTTTTGTTCTCCAAAACGAGGTCCAAATTGAGCTTGTCCCACCTGGTCATGTAAGCCTCCGCTGGAGGCGGCTGGTAACAATGCGATGCACACACAACTAACAGTAAAATAACGGAGGTGTGCATGACCGCACAGTGACACCAAAAGAGACCCACCAACCTGGGATGCATTTCCCGAACGAGTAAACCGATCCCGTGTTTCGCGGGCGCATTTATACCGGCACGAGCATCCATCGATTACTGCACACAGACAACTATTTTTTCATTTTACTTCAATACCGATTATTTTCCTCCAGGCAACTAGATTGTTTAATTATCTATAATCATCCTATTGGTACTTGCAATTAAATGTAAATATTACTCGGCAGAATGTTTTAAAACATTCGACATAAATAAATTTACATAACATCATTATCAATGCAGGATGGTTTGGGAATAATAAACGAGATTTGTTGAACCTATAGTGAAATTTAAACAAACATTTATAACAATTAAAGCGATTAATTAATGCATTGTCTTAAATTTGAAGTTTTAATATCAACATAACTAACAAATAAATATTTGATAAAATTGACGATTTCAATACTTTAAAGAAGAAATTAAAGTTTCTCAAAAATTTTACATTTTTTTACTAATTTCATTGATTAAATTTTATTTTTATAACTATAATAGTGTATTTTTATTAATATAAATTGATTTTAAATTAAGGAGATCCAAGTACCCTCTTAGTGTACAAAATGTCTATAAAAAAAATAATACTATTTAATTTTTTTTATTAATTATTAGGCTACGTAGATTAAATTTACAAATTTTCAGAAAGTTTAAAAATTTCCTAAAATTTTTATTAAGTGTATTTTCATTAATATAAGCTAATTTAAACAATGATCGGTCAAGAAACTAACGGGAGAACAAAATGGTTGTGCTTTCATGTTGTCAATACGGGAAATGGCGTACATAGATGGCGCGGCGGCAAGCGCGCGAAATTTAAAATACAAAAAAATTGACTTCTTTAAAAAATTAGAAAAAAAAAATATTTTTAAATAAATAATATATATTTATAATTTTAAGATGATTTTTTTTTATGTTACTCTTTAAGAAGATGTAAATATTATCAGATAATAAAAATATAAATAAATGTAGTGTATTAACAGATAACATAATCTTTATGTTGCGCAATAGCAACATCAGTAACAACTTGAACGATATGTAATAGTCTTGCAGGAGTGAAGATCCTGATTGTGATAATAACTTTCCTGACAATAAATGCAATTAACAGTGACGCGACCTCGCTGAGGAAATTACACTTTGATTGTTTTCCAGCTTCCCGGTTTTAAGGTAATTTTTAATTAAATATATTTGTATTAAATGTTATTAAAAAGATTTAATATTATGGAATAATATTTATGAAGAGAAAAAAATAGTAAAATATTAAGGATTGTTGAAGTTATAAGTTACAAATTATCTTCTTTTCTGTTCGTGGAAAACTCCATTGTAAATTCTAAGTTAATAACTTAATTGTATACCGGTGGAAAAAATAATGACCTATTGTTGTTTTAATGGTTAATAATAATGTATTGGCAGTGATGGTGATGGCAAATGCATGTTTGGTACCGTTAGAAAACAAGAAAACCTGCAAAAGCATTCAGCGTTAAATACACAGATCTCGCTATCATTTCCGACCTACTTTCTTCCCTGGCCTTATTTGTATTTTGCCCTCGATAATAATCGATTGAATTTTAATAAAAATTTTTCTTTAATAATTTTTTACGAAAAATTTTTCTAAAAAGGTTTACAAAAAACTAAAGTATAAAAATAAAATTTTGATACATAAAAATTTACGGTAATTAATTATTTGTTGTGGTAACTTATCTACTGATGATAAATTTAAGCCGACGAACGTTAAAGGGCAATTCTTTATTATTAATTAATAGTAAATAAATATGTTTATATTTATTTTATGACGCCGATAATTTTTTAAATTTTTCTAGAAAATAATTTATCACAAACTGCAATAAAAAAATTATAAAAATAAAAATATAACAAGTATAAAATAATTAGTAATAAAAAATGATAATCACTCTATATGTTCAAAAATTAAAAAAGCGTATTTAAGAATTTAAAAAAATATGATAAATATTTTTTTTTATTTTTACAACTAACATTTTTTGATAAATATTTTTTATAATAATTTATTTGTTAATAAATCATAAAAATTGCAATACAAAAATTAATTTTCTCAACATTGAAATAATTTTTATTTAAATAAAACGCAGTAATATTAAAAATAAAATTTTTAAAAATAAAAATTTATTTTTAGAAATTTAAAATTGAAAATTAACTCTCAATTTTTTTTAGTAAAAAATTTCAAATGAGAAAATTAAAAAAAAAAAAAACTAAGAATTAAATTATTAAGAAATATTTTCTTAATACTAATTTTTTTTTTTAAATAAAATAAAAAAATTTTTTACTTATATTTAAGTTTTTTAAGATCAATAAATTATTAATAATAATCGTCATATCCGGTGACACGATAGCTCCAACACATCGATTTTAAATCGGCTATTTACGTCGAAAATTGTCAGATAAACGATATAAAAAGACGGGTTCAATTAAAAAGATATCAGTCTTAAAAAAAAATGAAGTTGGCTCAGTTTGAGTTGATTACTTTTTTAATAATTGCGATAATAGCTTATTTTGGAAGCGCCAATGAAGAAGACGAAAAACTTGATAATTATTATAATAATTTATTTTTGGGATTCGATATTATCGACATTTTAGAGAATCGCCGTATAGTGGAAAGATACTCTAGTTGTTTATTGGGAAATATAAGATGTCCTGGACCTGCAAAAGTATTTAAAGGTAATGTAAAGATTTATTTTACTTTAAAAGATTTTTAAGAACTCTTAATTAATAATTTTATGTAATATATCATTGAATTTGATCTAATTTTTTAGAACTTTTTCCACACATGCTTAAAACTCACTGCGGAAGATGTACTATGGATCAAAAAAAAGCATTTGACACCACTGTTGAATTTTTAAAGTAAATATTTTTAAGGATAAAAAATTTTTAATTAGATATTAATGATAATATTTTTCAGGCGTGAAAGGCCAGATATTTATCAAGCGCTTTTCGAAGCATTTATTCCGTTAAATTCTACCAATACTTCATGAATAATAATAAATCAAATAAAACTTTCTTTGTAGAAGAAAAAAAAATTTTTTAGCTTCATTTTTTTGAAAAATGATTTAAAGTAAGTTCCAACTTCTGAAAAAAAAAATTAAACAATTGATGCTTTACTAAAAATATATTTATCTTGAAAATATAAAACTTGTTAAACTAAATATCAATTTTATCTGAATTTAATTCTTCCTGTTTTTGGCTAATCGCTGAATTTGTCGAGCTTGTTTTCTGATCCGATACTGAATCATCATTATCATCGTCGTTGATGTTACTAATTTTTTCATGCCTCATGACTATCTTCTCGCCTATAACAAAACAAAATGCCACAAAGAATCCAAACGCCAGAAGAAATAACGCGGGACTGAATTCTGGAATCATCACAGGAGCTGGATCACTTTTGTGACTTTCTGGACACTCTGGTTTTCGGTGCATCCAAACGTTTCTCAATCTACGAGCCATTCCGTGCTCAACTATTTGCCTCATTCTGTCAAATATCATCAATTTTAATAATTTTCTTATTAATTAAGAGCACAAAATGTTAATTTCGGTTAACTAAAAGCGAAATTACTGCCATCAAAAATATTTTAAAATATTCACCCATAAGTAACCATTTTTTTGAAAGGCGAAAATCTCGCCGTTGCTGTCGCCGTGTGTTTTGGAGGAAATAATTGGATTTCAACTAAGTCACATATTTCACCAGTATTGAATGTTTCCTGGTAAAAGGAAAGTAGAATTATTTTTTAGACTAAAAAATTACGAATTTTAATTTTTTAGTTAAATTTAGTATCATTGCAAAGATCTTGATTTAAATTTGTGCCTTTTCAAAATTTCATATTATTCTCACCGATAGTCAATTTATGATAAGTATTTAGGCTGCATTAGAAAATGCTCTATTTCTAGAAACATCATTAAAAAATGACCTTGTATCTTGTGAACTATTGACATTTTTAAAGATATAAGCTCATCCTGATGTTACACTCATCGAGACCTTTCATTTGAGTACCCACACCAATTTTTCATATATTTTATATATTTATATATATTATATATATGTATATATGAAAAATATATCTAAATGCATGTAGGTACTCAAATGAAAGCTCTTGATGAATGTAACATCGAGATGAGCTTATATCTTTGAAAATGTCAATATTTAAGAATGTATAGTACAATTTAACAAAAGTCATTATTTAATCAAGCAGAATTTTTTTATTTTAATTATCATCTTAATATAATAATAATGAATAAAAAATACAATTTCTGCAAAAAAATTGACGTAAATAATTACTTCTATTATTTTATATGCAGTTGCAACATCGACATGAAAAGCAAACCCTCCTTTTTGCATCAATTTGAGACCGTCCTCAATTGAATAATAAGGTTCTCTTTTTCGTTTTTTGTTAACCGCAACTTTATCACGGTACAATTGCAGAGCTACAGGATCTGTGGTCGTCTAAAAACAATTAAAATAATTAAAAAAACTGCTGATTATGAATATTTAAGGTAACTTACTGCAAAAAAGTCGTAATTATAGGCAATATCTTCGATACCGACTTCCAAAGTGCTGTCAGCAAGGTCCTGAAGGGTGTTAATCCATCTCGGTTTTTTGGCCAACAAGGAGCCTACAATACTTGCGGAGTAAAATTGGTAGAGAAGAAAACCCCACATGAAGAGGAATATGAAAACTATTCGCCCCGCGTAAAATCGTGGGCCGTCGCTCAATCCTAAAAACATATATCATAATCGCTGTGGGTCCAAAAAAATAAAGATATACCTTGTTGAGCCATAGCTGACGTGACAATCATCAAAATTTCAGAAGCCGGGTAGGTATCCAGAGTCATTTGAGGTTTCTTCATGACCAACCAGTGCTCAAGTTTCACGGAAGTGTACAAAAAGATCCAGTTAACTGCGCCAAAAAGAGCAATGTAGTACCAAACTTGGTTCTCAAAGGGCTTCAAAAAAGGGTTGCTCAGGTCGTTAGTCGAAGGGTGTCTGAAAATGAAGCAAGGTCTTGCTACCCATGTCTGGACGGTGTATTCAATCGCGTCCAATCTTTCGGGCTTGTACTGAAAAGGAGTCGCTCCAAAATCTACCAAGCCTTTTAACATGTCTCCAATTATTCCATTGAACGATCCGTTCACCAAATAACCCCAGGTTTTACCTCTCTGAAGATTCATTCTAGTAGAAAAATTATTTTAAAAATACTGTTTCAAAAAGCGGGACTCAATTTTTTATCAAACTAACGTGAAATTGTAATAATCGCGCATTTGAAGTGTCAGAGCGTAATTATAACGATGCATTGTGTCCAAATGAGGATTTATTGGGTTATGGATGTATGTATCATAATCAGGTACCGCTGGAAAATCAATCTGCAATAAAATTAATCTTTTTTGGTATAAGTTTATTAAAAATAAAATTTTTAGGGATTCTTACGACTATTGACGCATTTAGTACAAGTCCCTGAAGATCTCCACGTCTTTTATACTTGTATTGCGTCAAAAGAATTTTCAAAATTCCTAAAACATGTTTAATTTTGAGCTATGATTGTAAATTATCTTATCTATTACTTCCAATCCATTATTTGACATACAAAGTTGATTTTTTTCATTTCAAAAAAAATACATTTCGATTTTTTTAATAGAAAATAAATGCTAATCGTTAAAAATTTACCTCTTAAAACTCCATTAAAAAAATAATTAATTTAATTCAAGAGAAAAAATTCTTGGACCAAAAAAATGATTTTTAAGAGCTTCACGTCTTGATTAATGTAAAAAAAAAAATCGTAAATTGACTAATTTTACTTAATTAAAAAATATTTTTTAATTATTTTAGTTCAAGAATTTTTTTTTCCGGTCAATAATCATTTTAAAAAAAATTATAGACTCGGAACCAAGCCGGGAATCGAACCCTGTCCGGTCTGATTGCATGTTAAAAGCTCTACTGCGTAAGCTACCTCACGTAAGCTACAATCACGATAATTAAATCCTTGTATCAAATTTTGGATTAAAAGTCAGTCATAGACTAGTTATTTAATAATAATAATATAAAATTTGGACTATGACCTTCATTGCGATCATTCAAACTCCAATGACCCATGTAAGTGATATTAAGCTTCCCACCATGGCGATAACTGGGATTGTACACGTCATAAAGTTCGTATATTCTTTTATTATTGTTATCTGTATTATTTTCATTATGTAAATTATCATTTCTGCGTATTGCTAGCGTCATTTCATTAGCAATCGTTAATGGAAGGTTGTAAAAGTAATCTGGTATTTTTTCACCGGTCGTCGGCATCAACCAAAAATAAGACTCGTTATGTCGTAAATGTTGTTCCGTAAACTGGAATTTTTTACATTGAATTAATGGAAAATTAAATTAAAGTAAAACAAAATTTTTGAATTTTAATATAAGTAAATAATTTCATCTTTTCGATTTGAGTAAAAAAATATTTAAATTACAAAATTTTATGTAAATTTTACTTGATTTAAAATTATTTTTTTTGATTCAATTTTTTACTTTTTTTAATACGAGATAAAATTACCTGGTCAAAAATAATTTTACTGCGTTGACAATCCAAATCTAAAACAATTCCTAACTTCCAATAATCTACATGCAATAATTTATCCAAATCAATGTTGTCATCTATACTTTCGTAAATTAATTTTATCTCTGGATCCATAATTATCGATTTGCTGAATTTTAAACTGTCTAAATAAAATTACAATGCTAGTTTAATTAATAATAATTTATAAATAAATTATAAACTTACCATACTTATCCCAGCATCCAAAAACAACAATCTGGTTAATATACAAATTTCTAAAGTAATCCCGCGTGAATTTAGCAAGAATTTCATGACCTCTGCTCGTCGAAAGTGACAAAGTTAAAAAAATTATAAACAACCAGTACACCGAAAGCCGCGACTTCATCTTATTCGGGGAAGGTTCCGTTTACAAGTGAGGTTTCACTTTGCTTTACTTTAGCGACAACCCCTTGAGAAGTATAAAGTGGAAATTTAAAGCCCTCAATTATCGACTTTAAAGTTAAAACTGGTGATTACCATCCGCGAATTTAAATCGGCTTTACAACCACAGGTTTCAACTTAATGCTAAATTGCTGGTGTAGTAAGACTATCATTAAATCGATCGTTAGTTAATAATATTAGTGCTACCGTTAAGCTCCTCTATCGGAGAATCCGAGATAGCAATTCATGTAATTGCAAGGTTTATAGTTTGATAGAATGTCTGGTGATATTGGTTATCATTTATATCTAATTTTGTAAATTAATACTTTGCTTGGATTTAAATGTTATACTTTACTACTCTATTTTTATAATTATTTTTATCAGTAAAAAAATTCAGATCCGTGAATAATACACCTACAGAGATTTATTATTCAATATTTTTATATAATTACATAAATAAAAATATTCACGCTAAAAAAAAAATTATTTTAAAAAAAAAAAAGACATTTTTGTGACAAGAAATTAATTTTATTTCTAATTTTTTTTTCTTTACATTTTTTCTATCAATCATTTTATAGAAATAATTACTTGTATTTAGATCCATAATTTACAAATATTAAATTAAGTTAAAAATGACAAATATTTTTTTCAATTTGTTTTTATTTTTTCTTCAAGTCATAATTTTGCTTGAAAAAATAAATAAAAAAATATTTGTCTTTTTTAACCTGAACTTCATTAAATATATATTAATATTATAAAAACTACAATTTTTATCTATTGAATTGTAATATTTTTTATATATCTTATTTATAAAAATAAGTTTTTTTAAAAAAAAAATAAAATTATTTTAAATCAAGAAAAAATTTTATTGTTTTAATTTAAGTAGAAAAATTTTTAAATTAACAAATTTTTCTTACTCCAAAAATTCTTCGTATTGATTTTTTTTTCAGTGTTCAAAATTGTTATTTACTAAGCTCAAAAATTTAAAAACAATGTTAAAGCTTAAATTTCATGCTATTGAGGAAAAATATGAAGAAAAAAATTTTTTTGTATAAAAAATAAATAAAATAAACTTTCTATTGTTACGTCCAGAATTTGGACAGATTAATTAATTTATTTTTGGTCCAAGCTTTTCAGCCTATAGACCGGGATCGTGTTGAGTATTAGGTTTTAAAGTGAAAGAATGCAGGTTGACGTAAATTTAATTAAAATATATTCAAATTTTAAATTCTAAATATAATAAATTTTACAAGATTGGAAACCAAACTAAAGTATGATAATTGAATTACGGTACCTGGTCAATAAGATTCGTTTTCACTGACTCTAACCTTTTACAATAAACTTAAATTTTACTGTTGAAAATTACTTTATGTATGAGAATACTATAATGCTTGTTAGTCGGGGCTAACGTCGGTATAGGTAATAAAGTGTGAAAACACTTGTGACTTCTGATATAGAACTACATTATTATTGGTGACGCGACAAAATATCCGCGGACAAAATAACCGCGGACAAAATATTTTGGAAAAAAATATTCTTTGATAAATATACAAAAAATCCATGTTAGAAAGGGCACAACATGGCAACAATCTCATGTGTTGGTCTAATGTCGAATAAATACACACAAAAACCATGTTAAAACGGCACAACACGATTTTGAGAATATCTTGTCATCTAATTATTTTGTCGCGGTTATTTTGTCCGCGGTTATTTTGTTACAGCGCCATTATTATTACATGTTATTTTTAGCTAAAATGAAAAAATGTTTAGAAACTTTGGATAAATACCACGTGGTGGTCCAAATTTAAATAATATTCGTTATTTGTAATTTCTTTTAAAGTTAATAATCTTCAATATATTGTATTTGATCAAATAAATAGAAAAACATTAGTCATTAAATTGCAATAATAATAATGCGAATAAAATTAGAAACCTTAGATATTTTACACGTGGTCGAAAAACGAAAATACACGTGTTTGTTCGTAATTGTAAATTAAAAGTATTTTAAAACTTCTCTCATTAATTGCAATTTTACAACAATATGTTGTAATGTTGTTTGCATATAATCATCGAGAATTAAATTGACTAACTTTTAAATTGACTTTATATATATATATATATATATATATATTACTTGATATTATTTATATTGACAAACGTTTCTTTTTAGAGAATTTTATTTAATCTCTCTCAATATTAGATTTTATCGTTTAAATAATTTATTGTCGAAAAATAAAAATTTCTTTAAAAGTTACTTGCTCAAAATAGTCGGATGCTAATAATAATTGTTAGATAAAATAGTGTTGGTACATAAAAAATATATATTATTAAGTTGCTTGTTTAAATTAAAGATTGTTAAAATAAAATGTTTGTCAAGAATAGAACGAAAGATATTAAAAATAAATTTTGTTATCCTAAACACATCTGTTTGTAATAAGGTATATAGAATTTCGAACGGTCATAAAATTTTAGTCCCTTTGTATGGGTCTCTTAATGAGTATTTTATTGCCCTATGCTGGTAGGCTTAGGTTAGATGCCGCATTTTCTTAAAAGATTTTACTATTTATTCGAGATTATTTTTATTTTTAGTTTTATAGTTTTGAGAAAAAGAGAAAATGCATCTGGATAATGTTAAAATTAAAGAACCTTTTGAAATTCGAGATTTAAGAAAAACTTAAAGCTTAAAAATAATTTATGACCTAGCAATGGTCTCGGAAATTCCCAAGATAAAATTTTGTCGTATTTAAACTGAAATTTCTACTCAGATAAAAAAATATAAAATTATTAATTTTCCTTGGACGTAACACTATAAAAAAAGTGTATTGCTTTATTTTGATAATGACCACTTAATTCGGCTATGTAATTAATTCTTTTGACGTTGAGTGAGGTTGGCGCAACGAGCAAAGTGTGTGCGCTCACACACGAGTACTTAAAACATTATCCGCTAAAATACTGAATAAAAAAATGTAGCCCGTATAATATTTCACTTAATATTCTTTTCTAAAAAATTAATCGGTCTAAATAATTTATGAATTATAATTACATATAAACTGGCATGTTAAAGAAATTATAATTAGATCACTATCAAATATAATTTGTTTATTTTTGCAATGACGGTCTATTATTTGACAGCTATTAAAAAGCCTGGAAGTAAAATCATACCTCACTCACAATCATAAGAAGCATAAATTACCAAACAACAATTGAGACAATCTAATATCTCAAAACAAACAATCTCTTCGTATTTAGTGCCATGACTCACACATTTCCGATTCTGATGATATACAATTTTGTATCACCTGGATAAGACGCTATGTTTTCCAATAAACCAACAGTAACACTGTATAATTACTGAAAATATCAACATCCGCGCAATCAAGGTTGCCTTTAATAAGTTTCCTTATAAATACTCGCTCTCAAAAAGTAAGTTATTAGTTTTACTCGCAGTAAAAGGAAAAGACGAAAAATTTATCATAAAAATAATTTATTAACATGAAGTACTACGGAGTTATTGTAATAGGAATTGTTTTTGCAGCGGTTAGTTGTGAAGAATTGTATTCTGATAAGTACGATGTTTTGAATGTCGAAGAAGTTCTTGCTCATGAAGAACTAAGAGATACCTATTACAATTGCTTTATGGATCGAGGACCTTGTGCTGAAGATGCTGGTTATTGGAAAGGTTTGATTATTATTATCACTATTATTTATGATTATTATATTTGTATAGAAAAATTATTAAAAATTTCAAAATTAAAATTTTAGGTTTCTTCTTTTGGGGTATAAAAAATTGTTTTTTAAATTTATTAACAAATAGCATAGATAACTTTTATTCTATAGTATTTTTTTAATTAATTTTTTGAAAAATTATCATTTTTTTTTTTAAAGTCAAATTTATTAAAATTGCTAAATTGAAAAAATGATTCATTTTTTAAAATTATTTCTTCTTTTTCTGAATTAATATTTTTATTATTATTATGATTATTAATAGATCATAAAAAACTGAATTTTTTATTTTGTAGCCATAATTTTATGATTTTAATTGATCATAAAAATAAAAATACTTTTTAATTTTGATTTTCATTAAAAATTCTTATTATTAGACATGATAATAAATATTTTATTTTTAATTAAGTAAAATATTACTATTTAACGCTTATGGTAATTGTTAATTGTTAAAAAAAATTTTTAATAATTAAATTACAATAGTAAAAAAAAAATAACAATGAATATAAAAGAGTTTTAAATAGTTAACAATTTAAATAAGAATTAAAAATAAACTTTAAAAATACTTTCATAATTAAACTTTTTAAAATATCTACTATTAAAAAATTAATAACAAAGTAATTATTTTACAATAAAAATAATTCATTTATCTATTTTTGTTTCAACTTAAAATTTTTTCTTAGATTTATTTTTCTTTTAATTTCTTAAACTATTATTTGTTCACTGATATTTTATAAAATCAATATAATTTATTAAGGTTCTCATAGTCATCATACGCACATATATTTAAGATTATAAAAAAATCTAATATAAAAAAATTTTAATATTTTTTATTATTATTACAACAGGTAATTTTCCCGAAGCGGTCGTAACAAACTGTAGGAAATGTACCGAATGGCAAAAAGTCGCATTCGATAAAATCGCAGACTGGTATTCTTCGCACCAACCAGACAACTGGAATTCGTTGATCGACAAAATGCTCCAAGAAGCTAAAGCCAGAAACATCGAAGACCGCAAATAACTATCCACTATTTCTTAATTTATTAGCTAACAATTATTATTATTTTTATTATTATAAAACCGGCGCATTGTATTGAATTTGTCAGAGAATGTTAATAAAAACCTTTAAAAAAAAATTGCATTTAAAATTTTTATTAAATAAATTAAAAAAAAAAATTAACTTAATTAAAAATTAAAAATTAATTTTAAAATAATTTTTTACATTAAGAAAATTTCTTCGAAATAATTGTTTTTTTTTTTTTTTTTTTTTTTTACTTTTTTATCAAAAGTAGGAAGTAATTTTAATCTTAAGTAAAATAATAAATTACCATTGAACTGCGCAAAATAAAAAACAATAACGAAAGCGTTCAACTCATCCGGTTATCCTTCAACAGCAAAGATAAGCCTACAGGTCTCAAGAGCATTAAAAATAAACGAAAAAAAAAAAATAAATTTTAATGTCAATTATACGGCGCTTGCACTAAAAATTCAAGGTAATTCTATTTTTTATGAATTAATTAATTCGGCTGTCAATAGATTGCTTAAATTTATTTGTAATGTCAGGGAGGAATTAAATGAGAAAAAAAGAGATTTTCAATTACCCTTGACTTATAGCTTATAATTAACGAACTACTAAATAGTCTGCCGGTCGGTCGTCCTTCGGAGGACGTTTGTGGGAAAAATGAACCGCTAAAAAAATAAAGATCATCTTTTTTATTATTTTATATCATATATCTCGGTAATAAAAGAAACAAGAACGCGTTGTAGGAGAAGTTGTTCATGACGTCAGGGTCTCTTAAAAGGACCGTCATTAAGAAATCGGTATAAATACGTCCGAAATCTTGGGTACTATCCAGATTCACATCCGTTGTTGCACAAGTTTTGTTAAATAAAATATCATTTTATTTTATTTTATAAATTAAATAATAATCAATGAACATGTACTTCAAAGTATTTATCCTTGTTATTTTGTGCGCCGGCATTGGATTCGCTGAAGAAAAATTGTACTCCGACAAGTACGATTACATTAATGTCGACGCTATCTTGAGGAACCCGAGACAACGGAATGGCTATTACGATTGCTTCGCTGAGATAGGCCCTTGTCATACTGCCGACGCTAAGTTTTTCCATGGTATTTATTTTTATTTATCTATATTATTAAGAGAATAAACAAAATTATGTGGCCAGTGTATTGATATGATAAAATGGGTTTTTATGGTTAATTTTGGTGTCATTAGAAAGGTCTTGACCTAAAGTTGTGCCTTTTTAAAATTTTATATCATTCTCACCAATAGTCAATTTATAATGATGTATTTAGGCTGCATTCAAAAATGCTCTATGTCTAGATACATAATTAAGAAATTACCTTGTATCTCGTGAACTATTGACATTTTTTAAGATATTAGCTCATCCCGATGTTACACTCATCCAGACCTTTCATTTGAGTACCCGCATCAATTTTTCATATATTTATATATATATATATATGTATATATGAAAAATATATCAAAATGCATCTGGGTACTCAAATGAAAGCTCTTGATAAGTGTATCATCGAGATGAGCTTATATCTTCAAAAATGTCAATATGTAAAAAAGTACAAGGCATTTTAACAAATATCTTGTAAACTATTGACATTTTTAAAGATATAAGCTCATCCCGATGTTACACTCATCAAGACCTTTCATTTGAATACCCACATCAATTTTTCATATATTTATATATATTATATATATGTATGTATGAAAATGCATGTGGGTACTGAAATGAAAGCTCTTGTTGAGTATAACATCGGGATGAGCTTATATCTTTATAAACGTTAATAGTTAAGAAAGTACAGTGCAATTTAACAGATATCTTATGAATTATTGACATTTTTAAAGATATAAGCTCATTCTGATGTTACATTCATCAAGACCTTTCATTTGAGTACCCACATCAATTTCTCATATATTTATATATATTATATATATGTAAATATGAAAAATATATGAAAATGCATGTGGGTACTCAAATGAAAGCTCTTGATGAGTGTAACATCGGAATGAGCTTATATCTTTAAAAATGACAATAGTTAAAGAAGTACAGTGAAATTTAATAAAAGTCATTATTTAATAAAGCAATTTAATTATTTAAAGTGTAATATATTTAAAATTTTGTCATTTTACAGATTTAGAAAAAAATTTTAATGAATTAATATCAATAAATTATTTGAAGAAATAATGTTTATAAATTTGGAAGTGACGATTTTTCAAAATAGCGGACTTGTATAGATTAAAACGCCATTAAATTAGTAATTTATAAAAAATATTTTACATATTTATTTAAAAAAACAATTTTTATGATTATTATACAATAAAAAGTGACTTAAATATAAATTTATGTTATTTACAGATCATTTCCCGGAAGCAATTGTGACTAACTGCAAAAAATGTACCAAAAAGCAACTAGAAAATTTTGATAAGATCACAGATTGGTACACAACACACGAAATAGAAAAGTACAATGCCCTCGTTGAATTAGCGCTCAAAAAATTCACCAAGAAGGACTAGATTAATAATAAAAAAAACAAAATTAAAATAACCGATTATAATTTATGTAGAATTTTGGTAAATGTTCAAACCTAGTCTGTAATTTTTGTAAACTGTTTTGTTATATATTAAAATACATATATATATATATATATATTATTGATAAATTTGTGTTTTTATTTTTTCTTCAAAGTCCCAAAGATTAAAATCCAAATATTGCTTCGAACAATGATTTAGGTCGTCTTGGAGGTTTAAATTTTTCATTTATCTCCTTATAAATATTTGGTTTATTTTCTTTAATGAAGTTTAAGGTTTGCTTAATCAAATTTTTTTCCTTTTCAGAACAATTTGAGCAATCGGTTTTGAAGAAATCTGGTAAAACTTCTAAAAAATTTATTTTAAAAGTTAATTATTAAAAAAGAACAATTAATAATAATAATAATAATAATAATAATAATAAATAATTACCTTTAATTCTTTCGCCGTAAGAAGTACAAGGACCACGATCAAAAATACAATTAATATATTGATCAAATAATCGTTCATTTTTTAATAATACTGATATATTTTTAGGAAGTTTCTCCAAAGATATATTTTCACTTGAAAAAGCTGAACTTAAAAAAAAAATAATTACCAATAATTTCATTTTAAAATTGCACGTTATTAATCGACTCATTTTTTCTTTATAACGAAAATTTCGAGGGGTTTCTCGCTTTATATATTTTTAATCTCTATCTGTTTGTTTTAAAAGTCTTGTTATTATTACACTATCTTATTTTTAAATTGCTATCAAATCAAAGCAACGCAAAAATTAAACAAACGTTTCGCTCTTATTTAAATTGTTACTTCCTGGTCACGTAAATGATAAGAATAAAAATAACAGAAATAAAAAGTCGGTAATGTGTAACTGTGAAAATAAATTTTTAATCTTATAAAAATAAACAATTGTAATTGAAGTATTATACACATTGATAACTAAACAATAATAATATTTTAGTTTCAAATAATTTTTTTACTAGTTGTACTAAGTGTGTAAAAATCCGGTGGTCCCTTGCTTATTTTTTTGATTTTTTTTTCTGTGTCAAATTATTTTATTCAGTGTACTGCTACTATTTATATTTGCTCGTCTGGTGATCCATACTCCTGTAAAATATTTATTTTCTGTTATCGCTAGTTGAAAAATTTTCATACTAATAATTCTTTAATACATAAAATGTAATGCATCATTTTTATCGCATTATTTATAATTTATAATAAATTATAATCTATTAAAAAATATTTTTTTCTGTACAAAAAATATTTAAAAAAATAATAATTATTTTTCTAGAAAAAAAAAAAATTTAATAATATTAATATTTAAATTAAATAAAAACATTCTACTAAAAATTTTTTTACAAAAATTGACTTAAAATAATAAAAAATGGGTGTTTAAATTATTTAATCTAAATTTGGCACTATATATTATTATTTATTGTACTTATTATTACATTATTAATTATTATATCAATAAAGTGTAACGAGTGATAGAAAATGATATAAAAAATATAAATTCACAATAAAGTTTTAACGAAAGACTATAAAAAGTCACCAAACTCAACCAATACTGATAATAATAATTATTGCTATTTTTTTATGATTATTATCAGATATCAGTATAAAATACCCAAGTCCAGTTAGTGCGTTATTAAGTTGTAAACAATTAAAATAAGCAAAAAATGATCACGAAGAGAAACCTAGTGTGCTGATTTTTGTACCTTCAAAGCAGCCCTGACACCCACAGTGGCCAGTACTCCCAACCCAAACATTATCAAGTGCGGCAGATACTTAATTCCGGGAATGTCGGGTCTTTTCGCCAGCAAAAGGGACAAGAATTTCAATTTTTTGTCGCTGTACGGCGGGTATCTTCCTCTGTTAGATTAAAAAAAAATTAAAACAATAATTGATTTTCCAATTTTAGATGAATTTTTGATATTAAAAAATAAACTTACGACGCAAGTAATTCTCCCATAGAACTAGTGTCTCTCACAAGGACACTTTTCTTGTGTGTAAATGTGTCGTAGGTCAATCTGCCGTGATAAGCTCCCATTCCAGAGGCTCCAACTCCGCCGAATGGTAAAGTGTCAACTGAATTTTTTTATTAAAAAATATGTTATTAATCTTTATTATTAAGAGAATAAAAAAAATTTTGTGTCCAGGATAGTCATATGATAAAATCAGTTTTTTTTTTAATGAAATTTAGTGGACACATAATTAAGAAATGACCGTGTATCTTGTAAACTGTTAACATTTTTAAAGATATAAGGTCATCCTGATGTTACACTCACCGAGACCTTTCATTTGAGTACCCACATCAATTTTTTATATATTTTATATATTTATATATATTATATATATGTATATATGAAAAATATATCAAAAATACATGTGGGTAGTTAAATGAAAGGTCTTGATGAGTGTAACATCGGGATCAGCTTATATCTTTAAAAATGTCAATAATTAAGAAATGAC